ATTACGTCATCTTTTCTAAAGGTTTTCACGATTCTATAATTGAATACAAATTACAAGTGATTTACAAAATGACCAAAATTTATGTAAAAACAAGTGAATTGTGATTAAAGTAGTGTTTTATTGCTTTTCTAATGATTTCACTATTAATTTAATTAAACAACGGAATTGAACAGAAGATTGACAGTAATCCCAATTGTAATTGATTTCCTCGAGTCTGTGTCTCAACAGAGGTCAATGTTATCCAATGGCTTAATTCCATCATGTTCTTCTCTGGCAATCTCTGGCCAATTGTAATGTAAAACCCTTTTCTATAATAATCTGCAAAAAATTGAATTTTCAAACTTTATTTATTATCAAAACTAATGATAAGTTTAATCTGAAAATGCACTCAAAGTGTCCTTCAAATCAATTTGCGATTAATTTAGCGAAAAATGTTTCGTTTTCTATGTTTCGTGTGTTTTATTTGCGGCGAAAGTCTTCAGCAAAACATTGTAAGCGTCGGCATTGAGAGCGCGATCATCAATGGATTGCGGGAAACGACGCGCGACGGCAACGAAGTGAATGTGTTTCGCGGCATTCCGTTCGCAGAGCCGCCGATCGGAGACTTGCGGTTCCGGCGACCGCTGCCGAAGAGGCGGTGGCCGCGAGAGTGGGATGCGTTCGAAATGAGCGCTAATTGTGTGCAAAACGCGAACATATTTGGCGTCGAGAAGAGTGTCACGAATAAGAGCTTTTCCGAAGACTGTTTGTATTTGAACGTCTGGTCGCCGAACAACGAGAGCCCGAAGGCTGTGATGGTTTGGATCCACGGCGGCGCTCTGCTCGCGGGCTCGGCCTCGGAGTTCTACTACGAGGGGTCGGTTTTGGCCGCAAAGGGAAACGTTGTCGTCGTGTCCATGAATTACAGGTGAAACGCGTTTCCAAACGTTTCTTCGATTACAATGTTCTCGCAAACAACAGACTCAACGCTTTGGGCTTTCTGTACGCGGGCGCTGATGAGGCGCCGGGCAACGTGGGTTTGTGGGATCAGGCGCTGGCGCTGGAGTGGATCAAAGACAACATCCGGTACTTCGGGGGCGACGACTCGCGCATCACTCTGTTTGGGGAGAGCGCCGGCGGGTGGAGCGTCTCTCTGCACGTGCTCTCTCCCGTCTCGCGGCACCTCTTTCATAATGCGATTTTGAATTCCGGCGCCTATTTGTATAATCTCGGAGACGACAGACCCGAAGATCACGTGACAAAGTGGCTGAAGGGCGCGAAGAGTATCGGATGTGTTGACAACGAGAACAAAGCGTTTTCGCCGAAGATTATGCGATGTTTGCGCGGAAAGAGCAGGAATTGGTGGCCATCACCGACGACAAGGCATTGATGTTCGGTTCGATAAAGTTGTTCACTTTGGTCGTCATTGACGGCGAATTCCTTCCCGAGAGACCGATAGAAATGCTGCGAAACCGGGATTTTTCCGCGAACATCCATCTTCTGGTCTCGACCACTGAAGACGAGGGAAGTTTCCTTTTGAGCGGATTTTACGATTCCGACAAATTCGACGAACAAAACCCGAAAAACCTTTCGTTCGCCGAAGCGTTACACGAGTTGAAAGTGGTTTCCGAAGAATCTTCCTCTTTGGTCCCAATTGACGGCAAATCTGTGGCAAAACTCTATTTCTCGGGACTTTCCGACCGAAACTCGTTCGCGGAATTGCGGCGAAGACTCGGCGTCGCGATCGGCGACTACTTCCTCTCGTGTCCGACTCTGGAGTTCGCGAAACAGGTGTTTATAAACAGCGACTTCGCGGCCAAAGTGTGGCAGTACTTCTTCAACGCGCAGTTCGGCCCCAACGCCTTCTGCGCGCATTGGATGGGCGTCTGTCACGGCAACGACATCT